GAGGAAGAGATCGACCGGCGAATTGGTGTAGCCAGTGGCGTTCTGCGTGAACTAGCCCGATCCACTGTGAGGAAAGCAGAGCTCAGTATGAAAACTAAGCTCTATGTGTTCAAATCGATCTTTATCCCCATACTTACGTACGGTCATGAATCGTGGACCATCACTGAGAAACTTCGAACCCGGGTACAAGCTGCTGAAATGGGCTTCCTCAGACGAGTCGCTGGCTTTACGTGTCGACATGGTTTTCGGCCATTTTTAGCTTCAACGTCACTAACAAAGCTGCTAAATAGTGATATGATGAATTTCGCTCTCGCCAGCATTTCAAAAAGCGATGATTATTGATGGTTTGTCCCGGTCATCACCATGAGCCCTATGCATAAGTAGAACGTCGCTGATTTGTGATGTCCGCTGTATTCATTGGTTTTTAACACTTGCTACAAGGTCCCGGTTACTGCAGCGCAGAAGGAGCGTTTCCACTTTGACAGCATATCTTGTTCTTCCATGTTGGATGCTGGCTTTCTCGTTCGTCGACGTGTGACGTGTTCCAGCTCCCATGTGAAAGTTATATGACACAATAAATGGCTATGTCCAGTTTTCTAACAAAACCAATCTTTCCGTAATCTACGCATCTGCTGAGGTGCCTGTGCTCGGAAGAGAATACAGTCATTCCGAACGTGGTCCTGCCATGATTGCTGATAACCTTCCAAAATGAAATTTTATCTGATGGAGTTGCTCTGGTCCAAAAAGCCATCGGCCAGTGGTGCCTTACTTTGAAGGCAGTGTTTACACCAACACTACCACTACAGGTTATGCATTCCTGGAGTCCTTATCACACAAAGGTATTAGTTAATTCATTGGTATTAGATCAATTGAGTGAAGTGATCGTGAGTTGATTTCATCAGGGGTGCCATCAGGAGACCGACAGAAAGGAGTAACTGCACGTGGTCTTACTTATCTAGTGTTATGGTAAGATGTGAAAACAACAATCTTTCGACCGTAAACACCCAGCATTTACGATTGAGCC